CTTACTGGTGTATGGTTCCTAGTCTCCGGTGGTGTCATATTGGGTTTTCTGTTGTTGGATGTTCTTTTACCTTGCCCTCCTCTCATCCTTTCTTCTGGTGGGTGTAGCAAGTGTTTCTTGTTCTCCTGGTGGGTATGGGACCACGTTTCCTTTCTGGTAGATGAAAACAGGTCCAATACTCTGATGTCGGTTCTCTTCTTGTGGATGGAGGTGTCACTGTTACCCGGGTGTCAGCGTGCTGGATCCCACCGGGAGGGCAGTTGGAGGCAGAGCTGTCACGGGGCCTCGGGATGTGGGATCCCGCAGCCGAACTCCATATGGTCACTTGTGTCAGATGACTCTGAGCAGCGATGACGAACCCGAACTGGAAACAGTTCCTGGCCTACCTGGGCCAGCAGTTGTAGGCTGGGCTGCCTTTGGGTGTTCGGTGTTCATAACCTGATCTGGGTCTAGCTTAGGCATTCTTACTATTGCAGTGTTTCACTCATCAGGTACATATAGCTGTCTTACATGCTTAGGCCAACTTCAATTCATACCTGCTACTCTCCATGACAGATAGCTCCAAATCCTGGCATCTCCAAAATCCTTGGTTGTAAATGAGGCACGTCTTAACCATTGGTTTTTCACGGACTCTCCATAGGGATTCTAACTCTGCCAGATGTTGTTAGTTTACACATACTCTCCGTGACCCCTTTGATCTCGTATGTCCCATATGAGGACCATATGAGGACCATATGAGGACCATATGAGGACCATATGAGGACCATATGAGGACCATATGAGGACCATATGAGGACCCATATGAGGACCATATGAGGACCATATGAGGACCATATGAGGACCATATGAGGACCATATGAGGACCATATGGGGACCATATGGGGACCATATGAGGACCATATGGGAACTCTTATATATTCCTATGTTCAGCTTCCAGCTGGAGACAAAGCCTTCCCTCTTGGACTAGCTTCTGTGTTCTGAGCCTAATGAGATACTTTCTTATTTTCCCAATGAAGCCCAAAAAATTTCACCTATACATACAGTGCTAATCTCATGTTAATTGTAGCTGATTTTTCAGATGCAAACGCTTAGGCATTCCAATGTCCAGGAAAACACACGTTTCACCTCAGTGGTACTTTTCTCCTGTGAATCAGCACTGAGTCTTCAGCCCCAAGTAATCAGCACCAACATATTCTTAGCGAAAATATCAAAATAATGATCCCTAGCTCCGTTCCCATAGAGTCCTTGCTCCCCTCTTAAATGACAAAGTCCAGGACTGCACAGTCCACATTTGCCCTCAGCACTCATACCTTCCATGATTCCACTAGGACAACTCAACAAGATCTGGACATTTTACAACACATTTTTACAACACAGTCCCCTGGAAACAACATGGTCAAGATCATCACTATAAAATCCACTTCTCTGGTAACAATTTACTATGCTCTAGCTTTATTTTTTTGTTGCTGTGATGGACACTATGACCAAAAACAATTTAAGGGAGGAAGGGCCTATTTAGCTTACACTTCCAGGTTATAGTTCATTATGTAGGGATTTCAAGGTAGGAACTCAATAGGGTCTTGTAGGAGAAACTTTGCAGGAATTGTAATTGCTGCCTTGTTTATAAGTCATTCTGATTAAGTCAATCCCTTAATTGGGAGTCCCTTCTAAGGTCTGTCTAGGTTGTGTCAAGGTGACAGTCAAAGACCATCAGGACAAAATGCATATAATATTAAGTTTCTTTGAGCACAAATATAAGTCAGAGGACATTTATCAGGAGGTTATTTCCACCACCATGCTGGTTCCAGGGATTGAACTCAAACTCTCAGGCTTGATGTCAAGTGTCTTTACTTGATTGAATCATCCCACTGGCCCAAGTTGTTTGCATTTCTGTTATAAATGGACTCATCCCATGAATAACACATAGAAGTACAGATCTGAAAAACTTATGAAATGAAAATGGTTTCAGCTTTTTCATACTCAATATGGGCACTTTTATATTTAAGTTATTTTTAGATTTATGCATTATTTCAGGTTCTAAAATGAATTATGCAGATTGATTGTTATATCCCTAGAATAACTGAAGCTCAATAAAATAGGTTAATGTCAACAGAACAGATAAATAAGAAGACCTGAATTTTACCACTATGTTTATTCATTTTTTTATCATTTAATTTTTCTTTTTTAAAATTAGTTTTTATTTAAATGAAAAACAATCATATTTTACATAACAATCCTAGTTCCCTCTCCATCCTGTCCTCCTATTTCCCCCACCAACCCCATCCCACCCCCATCCACTCCCCAGGGAAGGTGATGCCTCCCATGGGGAATCATCAAAGTCTGTAACATCATATGGGGCAGGACCTAGGCCCTTCTCCATGTATGTAGGCTGAGAGAGTATCCCTCCATAGGGAATGGGCTCCCAAAGCCCATTTGTGCACTAGGGATAAATATTGTTTCCACTGCCATAAGCCCCATAGACTGCCCAGGCTCCCCAATTGAACCCACTTTCAGGGGGCCTTGTTCCCCAGATGTCAGACTGGGGTCCATGAGCTCTCACTTGCTCAGATCAGCTGTTTCTGTGGGTTTCCCCAGAGTGGTCCTGACCCCTTTGCTCAGCATTCCTCCCCCTCTACAAATGGATTCCAGAGTTTGGCTCAGTGCCTAGCTGTGAATCTCTGCTTCTGCTTCCATCAGCTACTGGATGAAGACTCTATGATAGCATTTAAGGTAGTCATCAATCTCATTATAGGAGAAGGGCATTTAAAGTAGCCTTGCTGCTATTGCTTAGATTCTTGGGGTCATTTGTGGATCCCTCATGCCAGAATTTTAAATAACCTATGCTTTTTTTATTATTTGTAAATACAAGTGATCGTACAATCTAATATCATAACAAATTTATTAATCAGATGCTGTTGGTACTAGGAAGAAATTATGGCTTGAAATAATTTCTAGCATAAATAATAATAAGGTCAATTTGTATGTTTTATTTGTTAATCCAAAAAAGTGTGGAGAAAAGTGATACATATGAGTATCCCCTTGCCTCCAGAATGGCTGCTTTATGAACAGAAGCCAGTATGAATGATATATTATTCAAATGTTCTTTTTTAATAAAAATGCTAATGGAATTCTTAAAATGCACATAAATTAAAATGATCATAAATTAGGATTAATATCACATTAATGAATTATAATCCTTCATTCATTAAGATAAAGTGGCATTTCAATATTTGTTCTTGTTCATAAATTTAATACAATAAATGAAAGGGATACACTTTGAGATTCAATAAATATTTGATGTAATCTTATGCCTCAACTTTTAAAAATATTCAAAGTTAAAGCAGGAAATCTCAATGCATTTGGGCTCTTTGTTGTTCTTTTATGTCTTTTTCATAATCTTTTCTTTTCATTTATTGAAAAGCTAAATACAACTCAAATTGGAGGAAAAAAAAGCAATAGAGCCTGTTCAGATTAAAAGGAATCCCTGGAGCACACAATGCCTTTTGAATTTGTAGAAGTTTCCTTCCACAACACACCTACTCTTTTAAGGAATAAATACTTTATATCTCTAGGTGAAAAAATGATGACTCTAGTGGCAGTTAAATAAGAGAGTGAAACAGAAATATGTGCATCTAAGCATTATTTCTAAATGTTAATTATGAAATTTCTTCTACAAATGCAAGATTCCAACATAATGTGCATTTATTTAGATTTATCTCAAGTGAATTATTGTTTGTCTGTGTGTAAATAGTGAGCATCTTACATGCATAGTGCCCATGGAGGTTAAAGGGGGCATCAGATTCGCTGGACCTGAGGTACAGATGTTTGTGATCCATCAAGGTGTACTTGGAATTAAACCATGTTCTTCTGCAAGTAACTCTTAGCTTGTCAGCCACCTCAACAGTTTGAAAATAATTAACTAAATTAAAATTTAAATTAATTTATTTTTAAAGCAGGATTATATCTTGTATCTTGGGGGAAGCTACACATCAGAACAGTCCTGAGTCCATCTTGTGAACAAATCATAAAAGGATTTTTAAACATGGGCTTCTGCTTTTCTCAAAAGCTACCTGTCTGTAAGGCCAAAGCTTTACTTCATATTAAAACACTATAATTCAGGGGAGGAGGAAGGAGAGCAAACTGGGATTGACATGTCAAACAAGGTTGTTTCTACTACAAATCAAAAATAGAACAAATAAATGAAACACTATAATTCTGTTTAGTCAATACTCATTGATATGATCTTTGATGGATTTGAGTTCTTCTTGGACAGTTGTCATTTTCCATGAATTTCCATTCTTTTGCTTGATGATATGCTCTAGCATTATATCAGTGATAATATTTTCTACAATGTGGGGATGATTTTCTGTGCTGGAAAAATTGTTGAGAATTAAAGAAAGAAGTGAAAGTCCTAATTATATAATTTGAGTTGTTGGATTTTTTTTGTTGTTATGAATAAGTACAGCATCAATCTGACTAAATTCTTGTGTCCCTCCATTTGATCTTATCAAATATGAGCCCTGCAGAGATTATGAGCCATGTTGGCCCTCTGGTTTTAATATCTCATACTAAATACCAACTCATTTGAAATAAAAGTTAAGGAGATGTTTACATTTAAACTACTTATGGTTCTTGCCTCAATGTAGTTCATAAAAGGCAGTAGTAATAACATTGTGTGTGCATGACCGCTTTTGTGTATTCATTAGTCTAAAAACATAGATGAAATGTGCTCTCTGTACTTTGTCAGCATTTGGAAACCATTTGAGTTTATATTAAACAAATTTGAGCACTTTGTAAAAGCTGGTCTGGTGAAGTTCATTATGCTGTAGTGTAACATGCTGTGAATAAAACTATATGTTATTTGTACAGTTTTGCTAAGCAGAGACTTAGGGAGTAGTATAAAAAGAATCAGTTTGATATACAAGCAAGAGGCGGGGTTAAATAATTCAGAAGATGATTTATCTATCTCCATAACTAACTACTGCTACTTTTCATTTTAGTTACACACAGACCTGGATCCTGGAAGCAAAAAAATCAAGTATATCCTATCAGGTGATGGAGCTGGGACAATCTTTCAAATAAATGATATAACTGGAGATATCCATGCTATAAAAAGACTTGACCGAGAGGAAAAGGCTGAGTACACATTAACAGCTCAGGCAGTGGACTGGGAGACAAACAAACCTCTTGAGCCTCCTTCTGAGTTTATTATTAAAGTTCAAGACATCAATGACAATGCACCAGAGTTTCTCAATGGACCTTACCATGCTACTGTGCCAGAGATGTCCATTTTGGGTATGTATGCTTCCAATTTCACAAGCCTGTTAAGAGTCATTTTACAAATAGCTCTTGGCATCAGGGATGGTATGTTGCTGAATAAAAGACATTTATTTCCTTCTTATCTCTCATTTGCATTTCCAAATCCCTGTTCTTGGCCTAAGTTCCACAGCTCAATAGCTTTAGTCCCCTTAGTTATAGAAACTGACAGAGGAACGGTTTTATTAAAATAACGCTTTTTACACAGCAGTATTTCAATAGTCTAAATTTGTATTCCTGTCTTAGGCAAGTATTATTACTGAGACAGTTTTATCAAGATTTGTTCCAACATGTCAAGATAATCCTATTGATATTGGTTCGTGTTTAATTATTTGTTTGTATATATTCACATTCAGATAAAGGGCACAAAGGCATAGACAATGATTTATGGCTAGAGTCAGGAAGATACTGGCCTGAGCATGTGGGCAGAGTCCACAGTGGATTATACAGTCACTCCTACCAATAAGTTTCCTTTCTTATGGACAATTTACCTTAACCTTGGTGTGTCTACAAATTATTGCTGCTACCTTTCACTCACTCCTTTCTCACTTCATTCTTAGGTCAAACCCTTCTAGATCAGACCCTGTGTCTGCAAGTGGCTTATCGCTGTAGCCTGCATTTTTTAACTTTGTTAAGCAATACCTGGATTTACAATGGAAAAAATCTTCCTTATATTCCATAGATGTTTGTGTGTGTGTGTGTGTGTGTGTGTGTGTGTGTGTGTGTGTGTGTGTGTTTATGTGTGTATGTGTGTGAGTGCGTCTGCACACACACGAGTTTACCCACTTGAATAAAAATGCCCAAGCTCCTTATCCTGGAAGTTTTTGATGGCTTTATTTTCATTTGATCTTCTGTTCACTACCATTCTATAATGAAACTTGGGTAGAAATACCTCTTCCAGCAACAAATCAGAAGTGATTTTAATTCTTCATATCTTACCCATATATTTCTCCTGCCAGGGTTCCATTTTATCTACTTCTTGTGAGAGGAATCCTATTTTTATTTATGTTTTCTGCTCATCAAAACTGAGTGGTTTGCTCTATAGATGGCCAAAATGACACATTTTCTTGGGGGAAACTTTTATGATTTCCTAGCCATAATGCCCTCTCCTCCATCAGCACCACCATAAAAACGAAACAGACAAGCAATCAGAAACATCCCAATCTCTGCAAATCTTTTAAATTTTCAAGTACAAGCAAGAAGTGAGAAATGCTGAGGGATTTTTCTTTCTTTCTTTTTTCACATCTTGTCTGACTACTCCTTTAGTTCTAGAAATTTATCCTGTATGTTTTTTTCCTTAGATTTTAGTAAGATAGATTATAAAAACCAAATTATCAGCGCCTTAGGCATACACAATGTGCTTAATTAGTGATAAAGAGGGCAGAGGGAAACGGACAGGCCCATGTTACTCTTTCTCTCCCTTATTGCCAAACACAGCATCTGTTGCTCTAAATTATCATAGGATGCCTTTTCTGTGCATGTGAGTCACATGCCTCACAAAAATGCTAGAGAAATGTCCAGATACATATACAAATTTGAAAATTATTTCAGTTATGAAAGGTTATAAAATGTGTTGTATTTGCTACAGAATGGCATGGGTATGTGAACTGTTGTGTGTGTATACATATACATATAAATAACTGAAATAACTTTCAAATTTGTATATATATATCTGGACATTTCTCTATCATTTTTATAGCTATTATGACTGATTAATTGTTTCCACGCTTAAATACAAGGTAAAGGGCTGTTTTAATAGATTCCTCATACCGCCTGTTATTGGTGCTTTGGTGGAGGTGAAAATAAGTTAATTAATGCATTCCTCACCTTACATCTGTACTTATATGTATTTGTTTTAAGCAGTGGGTGTTTGCTTTTGTTGGATGCTAATTTCTCTGTTTAAAGGTAGCAGAGGCAGATATGCTGTTTCATACTCAAGTGTGGACTGTTCCCCTAATTTCTCATGAAGGTGACTAGGGGATGAAGGTCATCAACTGTCTCTATTTTCCACCTGTTACCACTGTTTTTTTTCACAGTGTCTCTCCACTTCTCTTCTTCTTTCATTGAGTAGGAAGTGAAAAAATCAATGCCTAATTGAATAGCCAAAGTAATTTAGAAATATCTTACTTGTAAGCTCAATACATGAGACATGGTTATTTTATATTCTGCAGAGAATTTCATAACTTGGCGATAATTTGCTTCTATAGAAAAACTTTATTTGTCTTATTCTAATAGTGAAATTTGAAGTTAAGTTTTGCCTACATTTACTACTTCAAATAGTCAGTATTCATCTAATAATATTGTACACTGAGGTTTTAACTGTAAATGTAAGTCAATACCTGGATTGAGGAATAGCAAACTTTCTATTTTCTTTATAAATTGTTTCTTGAGTTAATAAGTTCCAAATCTGATTTCTATAGTGAGAGTGACAATACCCCCTTCTTAGGGACAATTCATCTTCCTAGTATAAAAAGTAAATCTTAGCAGAAAGTATGCTTAGAGAATTCCAATTACCAAAGTGGCCAAAAATAGTACTACTGTCCAATAGAAGTAGTTTCTTTATAACCAGTCTAGGATATACTTTTAGCAATATCATTCAATATATTGATGAATGCATGGTGAACACCATGGTAAATGAAACTAGTTCAATGACAATTATTGTACAAATTTCCATGTTAGAATGAGAATTATTTTATTTTAAATGGCATGCTAGTCAAAGGGTGCTAAAGGGACATGACGGCAGGTAGAATTTGAGCTGTTGGACATTGTTTCATTATTGTTCATTCAGGTAAAGAATACACAACACTGGAAGTCTTTTCTATTTGCTTACAGGCAAGGGCTGCTCTAACAGTGAACAATATGCATTGAAAGGTTTTCTCAGCTTATTGTGTGTGAAATACTTCTAATACTTGCCATACTACTGTGATTTTAGTACAGAGATACATTTCTCTTGTCTTTATTAGTTTTAATCAGAAAACAAGAAAATAATCACTAATATAAAGCTAGATATTAAAATAAGGAGCTTGGATTTAAGTTTAAGCATCTGTTGCTACCTCCCATGGGTTTAACCATCATGTTCTACTGATCTCTGATAACATCTCTAGAGAGTTTTGTTTATATGAGAGCAATGATAATGTTGCATATTTAGCATAGTTAATGTTATTCAAAGGTGAGTGAGCCTTTGAGGTCAGCATACTTTGCAAATTAAATTGAATATGTGACAGGAAAGTTGCAAAAAAGTTTGAGTGCAATATTACACAGTTACCAATGTATAAAATGTAAGACTAGTACATCACATAGGAATTCAATAACCATAAACATTCATTAACATCCCTGTGGTGAATGGCAGCAGCCCAACTACTGCTAACACATTAGATATAAAGACAGAGGAAAATGGATTGAGTGAACTCTAGTTTTTTGATAGTGCAAGCAGAGAATGTACTTTCTACCAAAAATTAATAAAAACCTCATGAAAATTTAGAACATGATTTAGTAAATATGTCTTTTTAAAAAGTTAAATTCCACTGATTTTCAGGGTCTTCCCACATAAGATGTAATGGAAACCAATACACTATATGAAACTAAACAGTGACTCAGTTTAAAGAAAAAATGTTATTACTACTAGGTTATTCAGATGCTTTCTTTCTGAAAAATATGTCTTTGTTATAATTCACTTTTTTTGTCTTTTTTAACATTAACATTATTCTTTGCAAATGTGCCCTTTTATGCTAACAACTTAAGTATTCTTTTGAAAAGAGGCCCATATAAAGCACATACATTTCTTAGTGATTATTATCATCTTTAATTCTAAATAGACTTAGTCTTATGGGAAAGGGGTAGATATTATCCAAATGTTTTCCTGAAACACCAGAGAATAAAATGTTGATGCTTTCTTTGTCTCCCCATATGCAGAGTAAGTCCACATCTTGTAATACCACAAAACCAACATCAAGTTTGGGGATAGAATATGAACATATTTTTGCTTTTAGAGGCAGGGGCATCATCAAAGTACTCCAGCTGTCCAAATCATGCCCGTTTTTGGTAAAGAGGAATCTCTCTAGGACTAAACATTCATAAAACCCTATTACTTGCAAGTTTTCTGCAGTCTTCACTTCCCTGCCACATACTTTATAATTCTCAACTACAGAGAAAAATGTTTTATAGCAGTTCTAAAACTTTGTCAGATATTTCCTTGGTTGAATTCAGAATGTGCCTTTTGACAATACTTTCCAAGACAAGGAAACCCCAACTCATGTGAGGTGCTCTATTTATTCCAATATTGATGACAATAACTTTGATCACTCTGCTGAGGAGGTATATGCTGTGTGTCTGCTGTGTAAATTCTATTCTTTTTGTCTTTGTGCTCGATACTTTGAGCCTTCATAAATATCTTATTTCTCATCAAACTGTGAACACCAAATTTTAACATCAATAAATTTCATATTTGAATTAATTATTAGCATGAGGAAATGCAATCATGGATTTTCTTAGTCCTCTCATTCTATGACATTTATTGTGTAGAACATTTTTCTTTCAATTTATTTATTTGCAAATTTACTCAAATTAATTTGGATATTTGGGTCTACATTTTATGTCATAGGTCATTACAGTCAATTAAAATATTTTTTGGTGATGCTCAGATTACCTGCTACAAGAACATGGAATGATTTAGCAGCTGGTCCTGGTTATTGCTTGGGCAACATTTTACCCTCTGGACCAACAAAGTATTTGAGACTCATTTTGTGGGTTTAGCTCAGTCATAGAATTAGATATTTACACAAGGAAATCCAATGCCATTTAAAGGGAACTCACCTGATATGCCAAAATCTAGATAGTAGTTTTATTATTTGTTATTCTGGAGTTGGTATTCACACACACACACACACACACACACACACACACACACACACACACAAATTTTACTCATTTGTACAGGGTTGAATTGTGCCCCTAAAAATCTTTTGTGTACTTGTCTACTC